TTCTGGTGCACGCATAATAATTCTGTATCCTCTTGAGCTCTGTTAATAATCTGTATATTTGCTTGCTTTTATTTGGATGCAATGTCTGATCCTGTCTGGCTGCTGAACAGACTTTTCTCAGACAAGTTCAAAATGCATTTGCCAGTACTGTGCCATATGTGCTCCCTCAGACATGCCTCTTAAAAAAAACCTCACTAGATGCTGCTTGTTCAGAATTATCACATGTTCCCTTCAGACACGACAGGTATTGTTAAGCCTGTGACTTCAGCTATTTTAACATAAATGCTAGAAACATTAGTTGAATATAAAAAGCATCTAACCAGCTAGCAATGTTCCAACACAGCAGTTTACTACGCTAGACAATAAACTGAACAGATTTTGGTAGGATAAAATAACAGCAGGAAACATACCAGGGACACAGTAGCCCAAGGAACTTTATTTACAAAGAATCAGGGCAGATTAGAAGGTGATAAATTAGATTCAAAGAGTTGAGCTTAATGTTGCAGGAGTGACATTGTGATCATTTTCTTTCCTTCTTCAGCCCCTCCCTCTCACTCTCATTTCCTTCTTTTTCCTACTGGTGGAGATGCATTTCCACAACATGCAGACTTGCCTGTCCAATAAACCTTTTCTTCTATCAAGCTGAGAGCCTTAAAAGGATGGCATTTTTGGAGAACATTAACTTACACTACATACTCCTTATGAACTGGCGCAGTGCAAGACCACGGAAGCTTCTGCATAAAGCCATGCAACAGCTTCCTACAGCATCCACAGTGAACCTGATAGGTCTGGAGTCCCAAGAGCTTCTACTCAACCAAACATGACTATCTCCAATTTCCTTCTGTAATTGTCCTAAGCCAGAACCTGGGAGCCAAAAAAAAAAAAAAAAAAAAAAAAAACCAACAAAAAACCAACAAAACAATACAGACCAACCAGAGGTATACTAAAACTGTGGTGTATGAAGGAAGAAAAGAGGGGGCAATGCAATGATTGGAGTAGAGGATCAAGGAAGAGAAAGCAAGAGATTTATTCAGCATTTCCTTGTCTGTCTCCTCCACAAACTGAATCACAGAAGCATGAAAGTAGATGTATTGAATCTCAAAGGAAATAAAAGAAGTGGAAAATTAACTACTGATGAAAAAAAAAAAAAAAAAGCTGTGTCCAGGGATTCCTGCATATCAACTCTGAGCTCCCTCTTATCAGCTTAGAATAGAAAAGGCCAGGGGACTGGGGAGGAAAGGTCAAACATGGAGGGAAAACCCAAGCAAGGAAAAAATAAGAACTAGCACGGAAATCAAAGCAAAAGAGCAAAACTGAAAAGAACTCACCCCATTTCAGACAATTTGCATGCACTGCCACAAGTACCACAAGTGCCACAAGTACCATTTCCCAGTTTCAGCATCATGAATGGGTGAAGCTGGCTTAAAGCTGAAGCTTAGAAAAGCCACACCACTTTCTGCTTTTTCCCCCCCTTCATTTGGCAATAGGTAATAACAGTGGGCTGGGGAAACCTAGTACAACAGCAGCTGCAACCATCTGCAGCAGTGCACAGCTGAGCCAACTGTGAAACGCTGCGTGCCAGGCCTGAACCAACCTCAAGAGCTCTTCCCTGCTGGTTACTAATGGCCTAAACACTGTGCACAAAGTTGGCCTGTTTAATTCTGGCTGGCTTCTGTGCTTTGCATTTTCTTGTATCATATGCTGCTGTTTTCCTTTAGCTCTGAATAAGCTTTGACTTTATTTATTCCTGGGCATCTGTATCCACATTGACTTAAGTAACTACCAGATCATGATGGATGGAGTTCTACCTCCACGTCACCACTCTCTGATCATAGATCGGTCTACTGCAATAACCTCCTTAGAAATTGCTAATAAGAAACTAGGATAAACAAATCCTGTTACTATTGCCAACGAGTAGTAAAAAAAGATAACCTCAAAGAATAGCTTCAAGTGGAAATGGTGGCCTGAGCACCAAACAACTGGTTCCTCACAACCACCACACACCAATCACCAACAGCACATAGTGCAAGGCAATCCCCCATTTAGATATCTCCACTGAACCCCAATGCCTGGCTGACAAGGACCATCAGCAATCCAGGAATCACCTTTATTTGGCCAACAATCCAGCTGTTGATATTACCTCCTCAAATCGGTATAACCAGAACTACAGCTCCCTCCCTCAAAGACTAAGCATTCAGTCATCCAGTCAAGGCCAAGAAGGACAGACAGAGACAGGACACGAAGATACGCTGATGATATCACTTAGCAACATCAGCTGCACAAATGCAGATTAAATGACTACCTTACAGAAAGAGCAAACAGGCTGAAAGATCAGAACATTATAAAAGCATATGGGGGAACACAGGGGAAATGGGTTAACAAACATAACAGAACATGCATAATTCTCAGCTACTCAGAAACAGTAATCACAAATCACCTGCCCAGCAACTATCAGAAAGTTTGCCTCATCACTTTCAATAAATGCATTTCCTGCGTACAAATCACAACCAGATTTATTCAACTCAAAGTAACTTTTTGTGTTCTATACACCCAGCTCAGCTCTGGCCTTCCCATACATGAAATTACTTAGTGTTCAAATAACTGTGGAAAGCAGCTGAAGCAAGGAGGCTTTCAGTGTATTGGTGTGCCTCATTTTAACTTGGAGGAGTGTTTACTTCATGTGAGGCTTGACTTTGAAACTACGTTTGAGTGCTGCAGAATTTGTCAGCATTTGTACTTCACTGAAGTTGAGACTCTGCTCCTGTGCTACCAGAAGAAAATTAATGTGGAGCTTATAAACTCACTGGAACAGTCAAGCTCACAAACCCAAGCCCATCAGGATATCCTGTGCACAATGTATTTTTTAGCAGAACAAAAATTTCATTCGTAAGGCTCACAGTGAGTCAGGTCAATTCTGACAAATACTACTTGACAAAAGAAGAAACTGAGGTATGTGGAAAGATGAGTAGAATATACCTAAAAAAAAAATATGTTTTTTTTTCCTTCAACTTTGGAAATGTTACCAGTATTTCCTTTTTTTAAGAGTCCAGGCCTATAAAAATGAACTTTTCCAGAAAATGGACTAACATTGTACTTACAATTAAATGAACGTTTTTTTCTATTTCTGTTTGAATCGATAAGGTATTTCTGGTCAATGGAACCCAACATTTTTTTTTTTGGTTGTTTAGTCATTGAATAAAAAAATCCATTATTCACACAACTCAATCTGAAATAAATAAAAGAGCAAACCAGCTGCAGGCTCCTTAGATTTTGAATTAAAACATCAGGCTACAGGAGTCAGGGCAGAATATTCCATTGCCAGCGATCACGCACTATATAATCCCTTAATTGTAAGCCAACCCCTAACAGTAATTTAACTTTCTCATAACATTATTGGTTTTCAGGTTTCTTGATTCTAAACTGAACTCCCCACAGAGCATTAAGGGCACATGCAGTGAGCTGTAGGTCTGTGAGATGATGGCTATCTAATTCCTCTAATAAAAAAAAGAAAACATCTGTCAGTGAGAGGGAAAAAAACTTGCAACCCAGGAAGCTTTTATCATGTGACAATGACATTGCTGGCTTGTCTATAAGGAATACCTTAAGAGAGAAGTTTCCTTATAAATAAGTGGTAAGAGGAAGAACCTGCTCATTTCTTAAGTAGGCATAGAGAACAGGAGGCCTGGTCTTCAGGCAACCTATTAAAGACTTAGTGAACACACTCCTGCCATTGTGGAAGGTGCCTGGAAGGTGCCCAGACAAGTGCAGACCAGTGAAGAATCTGCAAAGTTGAGAGAGGCTAATTTAATTTGTGTCTCTTTTCCAAAAAGTCCTGTATCCACAGCATCTGAGGGATGCACACAGCAGGGGTTCCAACCCCAAACCTGCATCCTATATCAAATAGCCCACTCAATACAGAGGTTGCTTTATCACCCCAGCACGTTACTACATCTTCCCTCCCTCACTCTTAACCACACTTATGGTGTGGGTCTAGCCCTACCCAGGCAGCCAGGTGATCAGCATTACTCTTTTAGCCTATGTTGGCCAGAAGTATAAGAGAGACATTCTCCTTAGGCTTGCTCACTCACCACTCAACCATAGTGTTCTCTCATTATCATCATCCATGAGGCTGAACCCATAGAAACGAAGAAAGTGGAAGCTATTTTCTGCTGTTGTTTTGAATGTGAAGTAGAGCAGAGACTGGATTTCATTCTCAGGGCACTACAGGGTCACAGGCAGCGCATAGACACCACAATCGCTTATCTCTCCCCAAGGCATTGCACACAAGAAAGAAAAGAGACACATAGCACTGGCCAGGGTTCGTTGCTCTTGGCAAAATGCAGCAGTATCCCAGAGGTGAGTGGCTTCCTGAGCCAGGCTAATCCAAACTACTGGCTCAGAGGTGAAACACTGCACCGTTTTGGCACACGTACAATCAGCTAGACAGTCACAGATCTGCAGCTGTGCAGATTTGGACTAGCAACATTTAACAGCAAGGGTAATTACCTCCTGGGACAGCGTGCCAAGGCTCATGAGAGGCTTCCTTGCTGGACGTTAAGTCAATCCTTTTCCAAGCTCTGGTTCGAACACCCAGGACTTGAAGCAGGAATTACCACAGAGCAACCCCCTTGCCCTGTGTCACGCAGAGCACCAGGGTTTTCAATGCATGTCCTTTCTTAGTCCTTACTACTGACACTTCACATCAGACAGACCCAAGTTACGGATCTTTATCACACAGTGATCACAGCATGAAAAAGTCCCAGAGAGTGGGTGATAATTATACAAGTCTATCCCTGCTATTCAATTTGAAGGCTGCCCATATTGCTCCTGAATGTCTGAGAGCAACAGAGTATCTTTGACACTATAATACAATAGAAAGCACACCAATGATAGCAAGGTAACAAAGACCCTGCCGCAGCAAGTAAGGAGAGGCTTAAACACAGCAGCCATGGATGCAGAAACAAAAGAAGAAAGAAAAGAAAAAAAAAACCACCACTTACCCTTAGTAGGCCTCACGTAGGCAAGAATCTCCAGCAAGATACCCTCACCTCCACTGCCAACAATTAAATAAAGTCTGGGAAGGGGTGGATCCTGGCCCTACCCCTTCCTTCAGGTGCACTGCATGCACCTGAGCTCCCTTGGGTGGCCCTGCCTTCCTACCAGGTGCTCAATCACTGATTCAGGCAATGACTTAGCATTTCTACCACAGGCACTCTTCATCTATTTTTCAGTGTGACAAACTGGAAGAAATGAACCAGTCACAGTCAGCTGTCATACTAAGACTACTTGGAGAAACCAAACAGCTTAAACCTCATTACTCTGCAGGAGTAAGATTGCACACTTCTAGATCTCACTGTCTAGGCAGCCTGACTGAGCTTAGTACTTTTTTCACTACGAAACAATACGGAAAAAAAAACAGTTCACAGCTCTACCCAAGAATACGGTATCCCCACTTGGAGGCTGAGGTGATTCTGCTCCTCTGCTCTCATGAGACCCCACCTGCAGTACTGCATCCAGTTCTGTGGCCCCAACACAAAAAGAACACCAAGCTCCTGGAGCAGGTCCAGAGGAGGGCCACAAAGACGATCAGAGGGCTGAAGCTCCTCCCCTACGGGGTCAGGCTCAGGCTATTCAGCCTAGAGAAGAGAAGGCTCCAGGGGAACCTTATAGTGGCCTTCCAGTACCCGGCGGGGGAGGGGGTTATACGAAAGCTTGGGGGTGGGGACTTTCTATAAGGGCAAGCAGAGACAGGACAAAGGAAAACGGGTTTCAACTGGAAGAGCATAGATTTAGACTAGAAATTAGGAAAAAATTCTTTACTGTGAGGGTGGTGAGACACTGGAACAGGTTGCCCAGAGAGGCTGTGGACACCCTGTCCCTAGAAGCATTCAAGACCAGGCTCGATGGGACTTTCAACAACCTGGTCTAGTGAGAGGCATCCCTGCCTATAGCAGGGGGTTGCAACTAGGTGATCTTAAACGTCCCTTCCAACCCAAACCATTCTGTGATTTTACAAAAGAATTCCTTGCTTTGTGATTCAGAGCAGAGCAGTCCTGGCTTGCACAGGTTTCTTGATTCATTACCTGAGAGAACTGAAAGTTACCATACACTGGATGTTGGGAAAGGCTCAGTTACAGAGTGAGCGTTCTAGGTATGCTTTTGGACATTTCAGTTATTCTGTACCATTCCATATACCATTCTACTATTTCTTTACTATTCCATATATTATTCTATAATCTCTTTGTTGGAAGAGATCATGAGTAGAATTAGATTTACTGGCCCTGGCACTGTCTTTTAGCGTGGTGCTTCATTGCAGCTTGATCCTCGAGTCAAGTAGGTTGCTCTGAAAATAATACCACCTATTTATTTCCATGGAAACTACAACAGACACAAAGAGCACAATAACACTATTTGATAGAGCAAATTTTCAGCTACAAAACACCATTTTTCAACTTCATAACCACCATTAGTTGCACCAGGGGAGGTTTAGTTTAGGCATCAGGAAGAACTTTGCAGAAAGGGTTGTTAAGCACTATAATAGGCTCCCCGGGGAGGTGGTTGAGTCACCATCCCTGCGTGAGTTTAAAAACCGTTTGGATGTGGTGCTCAGAGACATAATTTGGTGGTGGGTTGTTAGGGTAGTATGGTTAGGTTCTGGTTGGACTTGGTGATCTTGAAGGCCTCTTCCAACCTGAGTAATTCCATGATTCTATAATGATTAGCTGTGCATTTTCACCAGCAATCAACAAGAGTCTGCATGTCATGCACATAAAAATCTGAACCAGCGTAGGTGGCCCACTGTTTCACAGCTGCTATGATGATGTAGTTGCTGGAAAAATGTTGCCCACACAAACCATTTTTCATTGGCTCAAACAGGCAGCAGTCAGAAGGTGCCAAATGTGGCCTGTATGATAGGTATGGTAGGACAGTCCAGCCAAGATTGTTAATGTGCTCTATGGTCTTCAAAGTGGCGTAGGGCCTGGCATTAATGTGTTGCAAGGGAAAGGTGGTCTTCTTCTCTGGCCTGACTGGAAGCTGGAACCTTCAGCTTAGCATCACAATGTAGTAGTCAGAGTTAATGGTTTGTCCAGGTTCCAGGAAATCCAGAAGGACCATCCCTTTCTTTTCCCAAAAGGTAGTGCACATCGCTTTACAGACTGAGGGCTATATTTTGAATTTTTTCTTTGATGGGGAATTCACACGTCGCCACTCCATGGATTATAGTTTTGACTCCCATTCATAGTGGTGACACCACATCTCATCACCGCTATTTATGCGATCCAGGAAGCTGTCACCTGGACATTATACTGGTGCGATAGGTCCTGACAAACTTGCATACCATTCTCTTTCTGTTCCTCTGTGAGCATTCATGGTACCCACCTTGCATAAACTTTGCAATATTTCAATGTTGCCACCATTGTTTTCAATATATTGAAGCTGATACTCAGTTATGTACACAGTTCCCTGCTGTAATCTGCCAATTTGCATGGATGAGCTGATCAAGACACTCCACATTTTGTGGTGAGACAGCTGTGCATGGCCATCCAAACATGTTTATTTTTTCATGCTGCTGTTGCCACTGCTCAAACATACCACTCACTGCCTCACTGTGCTCATATCTGCTGTATGATCTCCAGAAATGCTCAACAAGCATCAGCTAATGTCCATGAGGGCCTCTTGTTCTGCATGGAGGAAATCATTGACACACCTTTGCTTCAAACACACTTTCATGTCAGATGCTGTTTTGTTAAACTGCCCTTCTGCTGCAATATGTTGCACGGCAACAACATGTAACAGAATATTGGTGGAGAGGTTCAACATCTACCTCTGACTTGTAGGCTGACATAATGAAATAGGAGGCATTACTTTCAGAGCAGCCCTTGTACATTAAGGTAAGGAGGAAGAAAGATTCATATTCCTTTTCCTACGTATTACTTTGCATACGTAAAAGAAAGTGTTTATCTGTACTGGGTTGCATTTATGCAGCAAATGAAGCTTCTACATAAGCACTTATATACATAGTTACCTGTTACCTGACAATTAAGGTACTTTTAGGGTTAGGGGAGAAAGTCTGCACTGCAGTCAAGGCAAAGAGGGGATTTTAATCCCAATAGCCCAATTTGTTTGTTTGTTTGTTTGTTTGTAAACACTGCACCACCTTCTGTTGTTGATGGTAAGTATGGAATTTGGCACAATGTTGTTCCTTGCCTGGGGGGTTTCTTTGCACTCTGAACTAATCACCTTGCTGAGGAGTAAGAAAGGTTTACTTTAAAAAGATCCACGAGGACTGTGATTTTAACATGTCATATCCACTACAGAAATTGGAGTACCTGGTAAAAATAAAAATAGCCAGGAAGTTTATCACAAAGAACAGTAACTCAGTAAAACACTGACCTACTTTAAGAGAATCACTGGCTGCACTGAAGGCCATAGATTCCAGGTCAGCCTTGCTTTTGGGTGAACCTCCTCTGAGGAAATCCTGCAGAGCAGTTCTTTGGCAATGGCTCATCTGACTCTCATATGCCCCCAAAACAAGCCTTTTTTGCCTTCACCCTTTCCTCTAGCCAAGCATTTCATCTCATCCCCATGCTCTATTGCTCTGTGAGGCTTGATGGGAGGCCTACATCTTCCTGCCCTCAGCTGGCTGCTCTTGGGAGGGAAGGAAGCTCACCCAGATGGATTTCAGCCGCTCTCATGAGTATTTTATGGTCTCTTACTGATTTACAGCCAGTTCAGCATTCTTGTAAATGGCCATAAATTGGATTGAAGTCATAAATCATAACCTGAGAAAGAAAGACACAGTCTCTGAGTCCCAGCTCAGGCTAAATCAGCCTGTATGAATACATGGAAGAAACCTGCTCCCTCAATCAATACACACAGCTCAGGGTCTGCAGGGTCCACCCCCACTTCTCTTCCACTGTAGCAGCAGCTACATACTGCATTTGTGGCATGCACTAAAAATATCTTCCCTCCAGCTGTCTGGCATGTCCTGCTGCAACACAGAGGTCACCCCCTCCACTTTGGGGTCAGCACTTCATGATCTTGACTGTACTTGCACATACAGAGCTTTCTAAATAGTAATTCTGATCAGCGTTTCTTACTCGAAGCTCCCAAATTCCTCACATGGCTCAGGAAGCAGAGTTTCCTACCACAGACACTACTTTTAGGAGCTGATTGCCTTCTTTTTCTGGGAAGTAAGTAGCAGGAAGACTCAGGTTGACTTGTTGAGACACCAGATCCATTCCACACATAGCACAAATTGCCTCACTTTCACTACAAGCTTGGCACCTCAAATCCAGGGTTTTATGCCTTTCTCTTTTGTTTCTCTAGCTCAGTTTTCGAGTTTAACCCGTAAGCATTTTTGAAAGCATCTGACACAACTGCTGTAAGAGGGACCCCTCATGTTTTTATGGCTGTCTACATTCAGGACAACACAGGCTAGCTAGTCTCATCTCCTCACACAAGGTCTGTACACTGCACTCACCCTAAACAGACCATTCCTGCCAGGCCTTCTGTAGCCCCCAGGGCTTTTGGACTGTCTGCTTTGCCTCACCCTCTATAGGGAGCACTGGATGGGGACGAGCCTTAGTATCTTCCTTCCCACAAGGCCAAAAAGGCTCCTGCTCTTTCTGCCTCAGTGGGAAGAAGTCAACCCACACCTACAGTTAACGAGGCATTTTGTTTCCTTAAAGACAAATGAAAAGCCACCACAAAGGTTTCCTACTGGGTAGGAATCAGAGGCTCAGCCACAGCAGGGAACTGCACTGCACTCCTGTAAACAACTGCAGCGTAGCCCAGTCAGCAGCTGAGATTGCAAGTCCAGCTCATGCAGTGACCCCCTCTCAGGCCTCTTTGATTCAGACTTGGTTATGTGAATTTATTATTTAGCTAGATGGGGTGATTTAGACTTATGTAAGGAACCATTAAAAAACAAATTATTGTGCCTTGCTATCTATGCATCTGTGTTGCAGTAAAAGTCATTGGTCAGTCGCCAGCACAGGGGATGACCTTGCAGAAGAGCACCCTAAAGTCATGATCTGACACCGATTATGTCATTTTCTAATAGCCC